TTTTATGGTTATCATTAGCCCTTTAGTTGACTTCAGGCTTTGGAGAGGGGAAGGAACATCAAATTGAAAAAAGTCAAGAGAGATTTACAGATGTAAAAGAGACGGACAGACAAAGGTAGAAAAAAGGTGAGGTGAGTACTGTAAAAGTAGTCGAATATGGCATAACAGCTGAAACATTGAGGTTCAAGTATAAAAACATCAATATTAACTAGTGTTATCAGTGACGTACGTATTTCTATAGAACTAAAACTGTTCCGCAATCACAAATAAACGTAATTGTGTACAGTAAGTATTATTTAATTAAATATATTCGGATAGTAATCGTTTCAATATTCATTTAACAATAAGCAAAAGGCAAATTCAGCGATCCAGACATACATTTACTCCAAAAAATAGAAATTAACTTAAGTTAGAAAAGTTAATTGATCTATTTGGAGATAATTTGGGGAGTGTTATTTGCAAATTAAAACATGACTTTGAAGACATTTATTTATCAATTTGTATACATCTTTAAAGTTTAAAGAAGAAATATCACTAAAATAATAGTTGATTAATTCAATCCACCCCGAAGTATTGTCAGCGAGTTTCGCTCTATCGATTTCTCAGCCATACGACATTTGGCGTGATAAAGTGACAGTGTTCATCTTTCTACGCGATAACTTTGCTGTGATTTTAAATACAACTGTCGTTAAAATTATTGGCATGTTCCCAAAAGAGATCTGTATCGGATACATCACAAAAGGGTCTTGACTGCCCCTCAACAATCTTCCCCTTGTGTGAAATTTCTCCCGAACTTAACTAACCCACTTCAGCAGTATCGAGGACAGAGTATGACGTAAATAGCGCCCATATTGACCTTGCAGTGGCAATTGCTTGTTGGTTGGCTGAGATATCTCTATACTCACAACCGCATTCGCTCCCTAACGCGATCAGTAGCACGGCGCACCTTCGAAACTGTTCGAATGCGCACGATATTTCTTTGTTCAGCATTGGTAGCACTGAGCCCTCCATAGCTAATAATTGTTTGTTATGAGTTTTCAGAAAAACTTAAGAGGAAAATGAAAAATAGTCCAATTGATATTTCGCCAACCCTTCTTGGACCTTTAATAGGATTAAGTGGAAACGCCTCATTTTAAGACGCCTTCAAATGCTATGAAACTGCAGTTGCATAGAAATGTCCAAGACCTTCTATATACCACACTTTAACTCACAGGTCTGCGCAGTCTAAATATCCAGAGAGTGCAATGCAAACTCTACCTTATTTAACCTTTCCTGAATATTCCACATCAATGCAAACGGATAGGGAGGGTAACCCACCTCCGTTTCTGTTATGTATGAAATAGTATTTCAAAAATAATAACACCTCTCTCTAAGAAACTTTAATTTCCACTGTTTTCATTTATATTACTGTTTTAAAAGGCACATAATATGAATCGCAATAAAACCGTTATTGATCGTTTTACATTATGGTTTAAGTCGATTAGCATTATTTAGTCTTCAGTTTGAAAAGTTATGAGAGCTCTGAAAAACCATGAAAAATAACTCAACGAATCTGCAAAGTATTTATCCCTAAAATTCTCAAACTTTCCTCATTTTCTAGGCGGACAATCTAATGCAATGAAGATTTTTTGGTTGTAAAAGCCACGTCAAATTATTCGTTAAGCCTAATTGCTATGTGCACCCTTTAAAAATTCAGTCGAATAGTCAGGTCCTTCTATGCCAACTTCGAACAAGGAGACAGTGCAGTAAAGTGTGTGTGGAATAAACTGCGATGAGAATTCAAGAGAATGACAGAGTGGCGATGGAGAGAGGGAGGGATAGAGAGGGGGGCAGTAAATGAGAAGCATACGTACAAACAGAGAACTGACGAAGTTGGGCATGTAGGTAGAAATGCAAGCCGCTTAGAGGAGCCAATGCTCTTTAACGAAATTGAGTCAATCATAGGAAAAGGAGAATTTATGAACTCTAGAAATGACAGATAAGTATTGAGCCACAGGGACAAAAAATGGGAAAATAATGTATTTCACGAATTGTGTGAATAAAGAGCAGTTTTGGAAATGACCAGAGTCACCTTTCACACCTAATTTTTAAATCGCTTTAACTTAAGACACTTGACTTCGCATGAATATTTTACGATAAAAATATTTTTATATTCTGGTGGCTGAACTTTTAAGCGCATTTTACTTAAAGTTTTAATACACAGGTAATCAATAACCACGAGACATTATCGACAATTACCCATAAAACAGGAGATAATTGATAAAATTCGAATTTTCAAGCAGGGAAATATTTACATGATCTTAATCGCTTCGTCCCTTTTTAGACTATTAATAATACCGTTAATTTCCATGATGAAATTATTACTGTCTTGCTTTGCTGAGACAGTAAATTTTCTTTTGTGGGACACGTCATCGCATGCGTGTACACATAGGCTTGAGGTGCGGCCGTACAACTTCGCGTACTGATTGAGGACAAGAGCACGCAGCCAATAGCACCTCGATGACCCTCATTTGTTTAATCAAATCCGCCATGTTGTATGACTGGTTTCCCTCCTGTAAACACTTTATCCGTGATATACGTATTGAATAAACGTGCTCCGTGCTACGTCTGTTTCCTTTATAGCTGGGCTATAGCTTAGCTGGTTCTGGGAGTCTAGCTAGATGTAGGAGAATCTGCCAGAGATTTCTCGGGAGTCTAGCTAGATGTTGGAGAATCTGCCATAGAGACTATCTTGCCATCGAGATTTCTGAGTCAGTCAGGCTTTACTAAGGTGTTTAGCTGGTTCTGGGAGTCTAGCTAGATGTAGGAGGATCTCCCATTGAGATTTCTGAGTCAGTCAGGCTTTACTAGCGTAGCCAGAGATTTCTGAGTTAGTCAGGCTTTACTAGAGTAGCAATATTTCTGAGTCAGTCAGGCTTTACTAGCGTAGCAATCCGTGGAGCTATAGCTTAGCTGGTTCTGGGAGTCTAGCTAGATGTTGGAGAATTTGCCATAGAGATTTCTGAGTCAGTCAGGCTTTACTAAGGTAGCAATCCGCTACACTTTCGAAAATAATTCGTTTTCGTAAGATTCATTCCAACGTCTTTTGGCAAAGTTTTATTCGAATAAATTTATTCGAACCATTTAATAAATGCGTGAGGATGTTTGCATTAAAGTCTGGCCAAGTGGTTAGTTATACAACATTGAACCGTTTATTAAACCCAACTAAAAAGCTTGTAACTGCAGGTTTTTTAGAAGAAAATCGCAAGCTAATTATGCAACGTCCCATTCATTCATTCATTCATTTAAACTTCATTCTTTTTTACGTTTTCACTCGAAATGTATTTATTTATTTATTGCTGACTGTGAGTCCGAAAGTATCACCGCTTTGGTGAATTTCGTATCCAGGCAGCATAATTGGCATAGTGCTATCTTAATAGCCTCTATTTCTCCTTCAAAAGCGGATCTATTACGTCCCGCTGCTGCGTAGAAAGAGAAGAGTTCAGAATAGACACCTGCACCAACGTTTGCTTGGCTTTCTATGTATGACCCATCAGTGAAGACTTGAAGCCACTGATCTGCAGGATAGTTGACATTGATTGTCTCAAGGGCCAGTGAGCACATTTGCTCGGGAGGAGTGTTTGATTTCCTGAAGAAGTCGAGCAGTTGGGTGCAACACACTACATCAGTGTCTGCTAATGGGTTCATGGGGAGAGAGAGGCTTTTTGGTTTGTCATCAATTTGTAATTCTTTCTTCAGTTCTATGGCTTTCTGTATTAGACCAGATTGAGTTTTCAGATGTCTTGGTCTATTCTCATAGGTGTTGAAGAACTTATCCATGGGAATGTGCAGTAGCTTCTCATACAAGATTAAGGCCTTTTCTTTGATGAGGGAACATATTGTGGTGCTTCCTGTAACTAGGAGCATTGCATCAATGGGTGTTGATTTTATCCCTCTAGTAATTAGTCGTAATGCTTGGTTGTGTGCCTTCTCGAGTGGTTTGAGAGTCACCTCTGTGGCTGTAATGAGTGGCTCACAGCAATACAACATTACTGGCTGAATAAACATCTTGTAAGTGGTGTTGAGAGTTGAGTGTACACAGCCCCATAGGCTACCAGCAAGACGCTTCAGTACATTCAGTCAATGGGAGACTCGTTCTGCTATTTTAGCAATGTGACTTTTCCACGTTAGCTTTGTGTCAAAAGTCATTCCGAGATATATGAACTCATTGGTTTTTTCTATGGTAGTATCCTTGTACCTTAGAAGCGGGTTTATGCTGTGATGGGCCAAAGAAAAAGTTTGGAATGCAGTTTTTGCAGTGTTGATTACCATTCCATTGTTGTCGCACCAGTTTGGTAGTAGTTTAAGTGCACAATTTAGGGCACTTTCTGTCCTCTCCTGAGCGTTTTTCTTAGGGACGGAATACCATAGAACAAGATCATCTGCATAAAGTAAGCACTTGATGCCCGTGACTGTCTGTACCAATTCGCTATGTCATTGATGAAGACATTGAAAATAGAGCAGCTTGTGACAGCTCCCTGTGGAAGACCTGCTTGAAAAAGATTGAATTTTGATAGAGCATTTCCGTATCTGACTTTAAACTATCATTGTCCAATGAATGCTTTTATCCGGTTTAGCATGTTATGCTTAATACCAATCTTTGACAATTTAAGAATTAGCTTCTCATTCCATACTAAGTCATATGCTGATTTGAAATCGACGAAAACAGCCGTAAGGGTATTTCTTGCATCAAGGGAATCTTTAATGTGTTGGGAGAAAGTGGCTAATTGTTGGTTCGTTGATCTTTGTGGCCTAAAACCTGCTTGTTCACTCCTGAGAATANCTATGGTTTTGTGTGAGATGTTCAGAAAGTGAAAATTGGGACAATTCTAGGGTGGATTATAGACTTGAAGTGGTTTTGACATTTCCAAACATTTAATCTGATTATTTCACATTTGTCTTGTGTCGAGCCCATACTCTTGATTAGATCGTAGTGTGAGGTGAGGCCTTCTTTTTCTCCAGTTAGAATTCCACTTGCAACTTGCCGGTATTTAGATAGAAGGTACGGGGTGTAATCTGGGAATTGGTAGTACTTCAGTTTGTCATCCGAAATGTTTGCTTCCATAATTGTGAAAAGGTCTACATCATTGGTTTGTAGGATTTTCTGGACTTGGATCGTTTTGTCCGGAGACATTCCTCCAGCATTCCACTGGAGGATCTGAAGACGTTGTGATTCGCCCTGACGAGGGCGACTTCTCTGATAGACTTTTTTCAAGCTAATCATAATATAGAAGTTAAATCAAATGCCGAGTGATAGACTTTTTTGCCGTACGAAGATGCGTTGTCCAGGCTTCATCACGTGGAGGTAAGTCTATCGCGCACTCCATTAGAAAAAAATTTATCAGCTTTATAGTTTTAAAACATTACCCTATTTGTTCAACGCACGGAACATGGGTTTGGTTATCATTATTAATTCACAACGTGGTTCAACTACGGAAACTGTCTCGATTTTTCCACTCAAAATTTCTAACATACACGACGAACCATCTTCGAGGCTGTCTATAGCGCTAGGAATTAAGCTAATAATAGGCTAAAATGGAAATTGAGTTCAGTGTATCTAATTTTGCCTGATTAAAATAACAGACTGAACTTTGGACGGGATTTTAATGTTTCTTATGACAGCGTTTTCTGGCTTTGATCTGAAATTTCTTTGAATTTCAATTAGTTTGCATTACGTTCGCTTAGTTCAACCGACAATTAGCTCAGTGGCGATCTGGACTAACTTCTACATAAGAGGCTTTCTTCCCTCAAAATGCTTTGGGATACGCAATTCCCTAACCCCATCCTCCCCCCCCCCCCCCCAANCCCAACCCCCCCCCCCCCCCCCCCCCCCGAAAGCTCATACTATTCACAATTTTAAATACATTTATCAGCTAATTCAACCATCATTGTAACGAGAATACTGGGTGGTATTTTACAATTGATATACATATAAATAAATATATAATTGTAAACTAAGATCTTGTAGCGGATTGCTACACCAATAAGCCTAGACTTTACACAGCAATCTCTACTATCGATGGACTACCCAAACTAGTTAAGCTATTGCAAAGCTATGAAGGAAAGAGACGAGCGAGGAATACGTTTATTTAGGACGTAGCACGTCAGTAATGTGTACAGGAAAGAACTTAGTCATTATCAACATTGCGGATCCGGTAGAACAAACGGGCGTCTCTGATTGGTTAATGTCGGTGAGTTCGTCGCACCTGATCCGTACGCGAGTTTGGATGTGATGTTGGCTAAGCGATGACGTGTCCCACAATCTCATTGATATTTATTTCGACACAATCGCGACAGATCCCAATTCATTAAAGACAAAAAGGCAACATTTTTCCTCCAGAAAGGGTTTATTAAGAGCATGATCAAATAAGGCATAAATGTCCCTTGAGACCAGCTGAATGCAAGGGGCTTTACCTCAAATATTCTAGAACGGGCGGTGTGCAACAGTTACCGTAGCCATTAATTGCTCGCGTTAGGGAGCAAGTGTGGTCGTGAGTGCAGAGACCTCTTAGCCGGCCAGCAAGCAATAGTCGACGCAACCAAAATTTTTTTCGAATGGTAAAGCGCTTTGACACTGACACGCAACCAGAATAAGCACCTTCCACCTCATTCATTCTCTTTCCTCGATGCTGGGGAGGTGGGTAAGTTATGTTCGGAAGCTATTCCATACTAGGGGATGTTGCCATGGGGATTACTGGGGGTGTAGTTAATGCTTACTCGTGCAGATTCCTCTATAACTTTTAACACTTTGTTCCATTACCTTACTGATCTAGGATGATAACTAGTTAAAGAAAAGTTAGCTGAAAAAATCAAGTTTAACTTATTTTGAATTCATCTAAATGAGATCCTATACTTATTCACTTTCAAGTCACATAAGATTATAGTTTGTTTCCTTCATCACAAACAAATAACATAGTTTGGTTGTAAAGAGGACAATTAAACACTTAAAAACGTTACAAACAGAACTGAATTTGATGAAAATTTACATTTAAGAATTCAGTGTCCAAACCAGAAATGTTGGTTTACATGAACGAAGACTGTGGTTATTCGTATTCCGTTGACCTAATTCAGTGCACTTTATCTGACTTAAGAAATAAAGTTCATTCCAAAAGTGGTATCTGGGATTTCAATTTGGGACCACATAATATATACCCTATGATTGACTCACACCCCCCCCCTGTTCTCAATTAATTAATAGGTTGACACACTATGAACTGAGAACTGGCATGCTCACAATGGGGCCTCTGTACGTTGCTTAAAATGAATAACATCAAGATTGAAATTTTCATGCAAAATTGGAAGATGACTCTACTTTAGTCACTAGAACCATTAGTTGAAGTAAGCAAGACAAGATTTTTAAAATTGTAAATCTCATCAGAGTGAACCCTATCGCTGTAAGGTTACAATATAATAAACTATTGAAATGAACAGAAAAGCGTTTGAAAACAACTCAAGGAAATGATAGAACTGGATAAAATCAACATAAAATTGCAGTTTATCACTTTGAATGATAGCCAGTTTCAACTGAACTGAATATGCATTCGAGTGATATTCCATACAATCGAGAAAATTTGGGACAAATACACTAAAATGTCCCATTCATAAGCCCTCTAAATTTAAAACAAGACGATAAACGTATGCAGGCTTATCGAAACAGATTAAGCTCGCTTTATTTGGCTGAGGTGGATTCAGAAGGCACAAACTAGTCACTGACTAATTGAAAAAAAACTAAAATATCTTTGTTAGTAGAAATAATTAAACGTGTGCAATATGCTGGAGAGCGAGACTGTCCGATAATCCTCAGCTGCCACCAACATTGGCAATCCCTGAAGCAGTACGGCTTGACACTGTCAGAGTAGTGACCCGATTTCTTCATTATCAATAGCCAGCGATCACATATACTTATTTTGGTTCCTCAAAAACACAAACGGAAGACATAATTTACACTCCTATTTAACGTGCTTAGCTCCCCGTCTCCCCTAGAAAACGAAAAAGAGATCCTTTGTGCGGTTCATAAACATAACTTGTTTCTTTAAGAAACCCTGTAAAAAAATGTGAAACTCCCTCAATGCAACAAACTTCTGTTCATAAAGGGATGGCACACCAACCAAAATATTACTCGATGCGGAAAAGAATAAATTTGCTAGAAAACGTGGCAATATTATAAATAATTTCTTAACTAGATGAACTTGTTACTATATGGGCATAAATGAACAGAAAATAATAAATGTAAAATTCAAAGGATGTACTACACCAATACAAAAAGTATGTACAATATCTCACAATAAAAAAGAAATGAATCGATGAATTATTCTTTAGTTCGTCTGTTTTTGTTAAATTTCCACGCGAAACGCTTTGGGAGTTTGTTTTTACCAACTTTAACGATATTTTTACCTCTAAAACAAAGAACGTTATCGAATAAATAAATTTAAAAAACGTTATGTGCGTAAATTGCACCTACCTTCTCTCTTGTCGTTCAGCTTGACGACGATAATGTTTGTCCAGAAGACCAAAACCGGACATTCGCTCCAAAATCTTTTGTTTACTCTTTTCCTGTAAATTTTAAGAGGAAATTTAAGAATAATAAACATATATATGCAGAAATTTTGCCAAAGAAGAGAATTTCATGAGGAAATAGAGCTTACACCTCTAAAATCATTTTTGTGCTCTTCCTTTTCCTGCCTCTTCTTCTCTTGAAGAATTCGATAGTTAATAACCGGCCTTTTGGGAGGTTTAGCACCCATTTTAAGAAGAAGCTCACGGCGAGCCTCACGTCGAGAAGCAGGAGATAAAGATTGGTCGTTCATTCGAGCACGAAGCATGAAGAGCGTTACATCCTTATTTCTTACTATAATTTCCTCATTTTCATCTTGCTGAGAGGAGTGCTTAGACTTTGATAACTCTTTACGGAGCATGAAAAAAACCGAAGCGCCGAGAAGTGCTTTAACGCAGCGCCTAAATTTAATTAACTAAAACATATCATGTCTATTGGTTATTTTATTTTAATTACTTCAGATTTCTAACAAAAATTCATTTAATTTAAATGATCAAAACTCATTCAGCAAGTGAATATCAGATATAAAATTAACTTATCTTAAAACAATACAAAGTAGAATCGATATAAGTTTATAATTTGTTTTGTTAGTTTTGTAATAGTATCTCCAAATTAGCGAAACAATCGAAAATAACGGAAAAAATATAAATGAAATAGACCTCTGCCTATAGCTTTCGTAATATTTTTTATTGTTGATTTTCAATGTGATGATTAACGAATGTTATAGCATTTTGAAGGATAAAATCCCCAGTATCAGCTGTTAGTTAAGAAATACTTTAAAATGAAGTTACGTGCCTTTGTGGTTCAGAATTAAATTATGGTTTTAAGTTAATGGAATTCTTCGAATTTTCAATTAAATACACTGTAATGTTGAATTTGAACATTCACGAGTTTGAGATCATTAATTTATTCGTATAAAATCGAGGATTCAATGTTTACTTCAAAATACCATGGCCCAACTGCTTGTCATATTCGACCCCTTTCACAGTACTCATCTTACCTTTTTCCCTTCCTTTATGTCTGTCTGCCTCTTCTACATCTGTGAATCGCTCTTCTGTTCCCAACCCTTGGACTTTCTGCTACTTTGATGAACCTTCCTTCTGTGAAGGCCCCTCGGCTTTCTGCTACTTTGATGAACCTTCCCACTGTCCGGTCAGCCAAATGGCTAATGATAGCTATCAAAAGGCCTGCCATTTGAAATAAATAAATATATCTGTCCCTAAAAGTTGTAACATGTCGCAATGTACTAGTCAGTATGTGCTCACTCTGAGTGCTTGTGTGCAGGTTCCAATATGCTATATTACTAACAAATGCGGTTTCAGTAGTTATTTGTTTAAATTTAAATGGGAGTACAGGGTAAGGCGAAAAATAATCAATTGACTTGCCTTGATCATCGTCTCTTCCATCATTGCAGGAGATTTCTCGAGACACCTGGCAAGCAGATCCCTTCCTGTTGGCAAAGCACTGACAGAAGTAATGTCCATCATCACCCTTCACACAATGTCCATGGCCACTGCAGTCTAGCGGGCATTCGTCTGAAAGATAAAGGAGTACACTTCAGCAAACAGTTTAGTCAGCAAAAAAAATACCGCCAAAAAGAAGGAAATCAGTTCTAAGATAAATTAAATTTTGTCAATGAGAAAATTTAGGCGCGAGTGGACAACACCAAATAGACGTCTGGAAATGTGTAGGGTTGTGCGATAGACCTACCTCCACGTGGTGCACCCTGGGCAACGTATACTCATACGGCAAAAAGGTCTATAAACCGGCAGTTGACTTCTGACTTCAGACTACCATAAGCTGACTCCATGTCATATTCAATTATTTCACAGTACTCACCTCACCTTTTTCCCCCTTTGTATCTGCCTATTTTGCATCTTTGAAACGCTCTTCTGTCCCCCCCACACCCTCTCGACTTTTTTTCACTTTGATGTTCCTTCCCCTCTGTGGAGCCTGCAGTCAACTAAAGGGCTAATGATAACTATCAAAACGCCTGCCATTTGATATAAATAACCTTTAACACTATATGGGTCTGTCCTATTCTGCGCAATTTTTTATTACATGCTAGTTTTTGCCCAAGTGGCGTAGCAGTCAAAATCTCGATTGCTTGTCGATCAACGTTTGCAACTTCTAACTGTAATTAGAATGCTAATCATGAAACATGGTATTTAGGAAACTGCTCTTAAGGAGAGTAATTACCTAGAACATAAAACGCCAAAAAGCTCAACAATTCGAGGTTCCTCTGGTTAAGGTAATCAAAAGTGTTCATTCAGTGAAATGTGTGTCAAATATAACTTTATAAGTTATATGACATAAAGCCATTTTTTCGTAATTAAATCAAGGGTCCCCATATTGGGACAAAAATATTTGTTTATTTATTTCAAATGGCAGGCATTTCGATAGTTATCATTAGCCCTTAAGCTGACTTCGGGCTTCACAGAAGGGAGGAACATTAAAGTGAGAAAAATTCGACAGGGGAAAAGAAGAGCGATTCACAGATGTAAAAGAGACAGACAGACGCAAAGGCAGAGAAAAGGTAAGATGAGTACTGTGAAAGGGGTCGAATATGACA